AAAAAAAAAAGCCATCAAGGAAAAGGCAAAAAGAGACGAGGTTTGGAAAAAGCCCAGGCTTAGAAAAGCCCAGGAAGGGCAAAATACGGGTTTTTTTTGTTTTAGAAAAACTACACCGCAGTATCGCACGCCTTGCTCTGCTCTGTGCTTATTTGGGGGGGGGGATCTATTAAACTGCAGCCGTTGGCGGGTAAGGAGGTGAAGCGGAAGCCTGCGGGATACGGCCTATCGTCAGAGCGGTCGGCTAACGAAGTGGTCTAAAGAAAACCAACTCGCCTCGCAAGAACCGCAACAGGAGAAAGGCTTCGGTGGTGCAGGACGTCCCCTCCAGGCTGAACCGGGGGCTAATCCGTACCGAGCCGGCCTGCGATCCGCTAAGCCAAGGCTTTTCCACCCCACGGATCAGGCCGGCGGGGGGGGGTTCGGCAGCAAAAAGCAGCTACGACAGCGGTCGCAGCGGGTTTCAAGTCCGATTTGCAGCTCCGAGGGGGAAAAGGGGGAGCTCCTACAATCCCAACATCGATTAACAGCAAAGCATCGGCGAGTCTGATGAAGGATGGAGAGCGGGGAAGGTTTTATCCAGCTCCAGATCTTGGCAGAGCCTTAATATTTACAGAAGTTTCCGAGTTGTGCCAAATCAGGGTGAAAAGGGGCCGCTGGACCCAAATTATCCAGCTGAGGGAGGAAAGGGGGAAGACCCGAGTCCCTTTTTTCTGCAGAAGACAGATTTGCCGTCTCCTCTTCCCCCGGCTCACTTGTTTCTCCACCAAACCAGGGCTGTCTGCTCCGAGCTTCGCTAGCCGTCGCGTAAAGCCCTTTCACACCAGGCGGGGATTAACTGCAGGGACAGGGGAAACACCACCAGCGGGGAAAATCATAAAATAGGTGTTGAAAAACAGCCTTTCCCTGGCATTAAACACACCCCACGAGCCAGCTGCGACGGGAAGAGGCCAAACCATCACCAGAGCGGCCCAAACGCCCAGGCAGCAGCGAGACGGCTTCGACTTGCAACCAGCCAAAACCCTTTCCAGAACTAGTTCATGTGATTTATAACGACGCTGGATTAGTTTCTCGATGCAAAAAGAAACCAGACACTTGTAACCTTGCTAAACGCTCGGCCTCGGCTTGTTCTTCCTTCCCATGCCTTCGTTTCAAAGCTTAACTCTGCTTTCTCTTCCAGAGCCCGTTCGCAAAGGGCTCGCGGAGAAGACAGCACTTTGACGAGTTGGCTGAACATCCTTCTTACTCCTGTGCAACAGCTAAAAATCTCTTTTTGAAATAAATTTGCCATAAAGAAAGGGAAAAAAGCTTCAGATACGAGTAGGAATAAAAGGAGTCTGGCTTGACAAGATGTCTCGGAGCTCGTCTCTACTCAGGGAACCAAAAAGCAGCAAGGAGATGAGGCGATGAAAAACCTGCGCTTGCCGCAACAGGGCTCACGGGGGAAAAAAGAAGCCGGGACAGGGAGGAGATGGTAGGGATGGGGACCGGCACCTCGAAATCCCGGCAGATCAGCCCCCCACCACGGCCATTTCGCAAGGGTCCGTGGGTCAATGAGGGATGAAAGCTGTCCTGGGTGGAGAGACGCCCAGTGCAGAGCCTTAAACTGGATGCCTAGACACGATAAAACCCTGAATTTGGGGGCCAGAAACTCCCTTCCCCTGAATTTTGGGGCCAGAAACTCCCTTCCCCTGAATTTTGGGGCCAGAAACTCCCTTCCCCTGAATTTTGGGGCCAGAAACTCCCTTCCCCTGAATTTTGGGGCCAGAAACTCCCTTCCCCTGAATTTTGGGGCCAGAAACTCCCTTCCTGGGAACTAGGGGAGTTTCTAACTGGATCGTGAGGAGGGGAACATCCACCTGTCTACACGACAACGCCGTAGGGAGCCAAACCCTGGCTTCCCGCTCTCCGGTAGCCCCACGAGGCTGGTAGCATCATCTCTGCCCCCCAAAATCCATCCCAAATCCTTCTGCTGCGGCTAAAAGACGCGGCGAAGGCAGGAGGGGAAGAGGAAGGGGGTGGAAAATCAGAGCGGTGTCGTGGAGATGTGCGTGGTTTACCCCGAAGCTCCCCTTCCCAAGACAGGGGAGGAGACGCTCTCTCCGCTGTACCTTCCCAGCACGGCTGTTGGTGACGGGGAACTCGCCCAGGCTGTCGTCGTCGATGCGGGGGTCCGGGAGGGCACGTTTCTCCAACGGGTCGGTCCTCAACAGGGCTTCCAGGCTGCTGCCGTCCTGAGAGATCAGCCCTTCCTTCTTCAGGGTCTGATCGGTGTCTGCAAGGAGCCGGTGGCGGGGGGAAAGGGAAGAGAAAAATCAGAGCGGAACGTCGGCACGCGCCGAGATCCCATCTTAACCCAGCCACGTTCGCGAGCTTCCCCG